ACAGCTAAACTGATGAGAGGAGAAGTACAGAGGGAAAGAGGAGAGACAGATAGAATAGATTAATGTCATTTCCTCGCATAGGCCAAGGTACACATTCAGTTGCCAATAAGAGTAAAATATGTGTGTGCTTTTTCAAAAAATCATTTTAATCAAATTTAGGAAGAAGCAATATGTCTGAGTCTAGTCAAATAAATCATGATTTCATTCCTGGGAACAAACATTGAACAGTTCTCTGACACACCTGTTTTTCAATACCAAAAACACACTGAGATCTGGGATGCCACGTCACAGGCAGGGGTCCTTCCACAGCCATGGTGAACAACCACCTCCGCTCTCAAAGGGGGTCCTTCGTAAAACCATGTGTTTGAAAATAACTGTCAGTCTTTTAATCTCCCATATATTTTAAGAAGGAAAAAAGTAACTGTGTATAATGGTTATTAATTTATTGCCATCTGGCCATTTTAGACTCAATGTCTAAAAGGATCGCTCTTTTGGCTGGAGTGAATGATTCTGATTCTCAAGGGGGCACATGGATTACTTCTACACAGACAGGAAAGAAAAACTATGTTTGGGATCCAGGAACCCTGTAGGGTATCCTCTACGGCTTCCATGCCCAGTAGCAAAGGTTTACAGAAAACATAACCAAAACAGGCGGGGAAAGTGGGGACTCAAACTTTTTGAGAATGAAGGTTTGAGCTTCAGGTAAAGAACCGTAAGTAACTGAGTTTCTGACTCAGTACACAGAAATGCAGACTGAGCAGTGAACAAAGGAAATGTAGAAACTCTACCGATAGCTTTGTGAGAGACACAATTGCAGAGAAGAGGCATTTTTAATAATATTTTTATTTGCTTCTTATATGCATGTATTTATTTTTGTTTGCTATTTCCTCTTTTCCTGTTTCTTTCTATTTTTATTTCATTTTAAATATAAGTTGGAAGTTTACTTTAGTATGTAGGACATAGAACATCCAGGAGAACTGTGATCAAATTTTAAAAAAAATAAGGTAACATCAGCAGTGGTTAGCACAATTGCATGTTTATTTTGGGATTTCACCTGTGAAATGGACAGCTGTATGGACACCTGTGAAATGGACAGGTGGAAGCACAGAGCTGTTTTGTTGATGTACAAGAACTCAGGTGTGCGTGAAAGAATGCATATGGCACCAGAGTAACCAAAGGGGTGGACTGCAGCAATTAACAATTTATTGCCTCCTGGATTTAAATTTACCCTTCACTGCCTCTACAAAAATGGATAAGGCCCTTTTAATGGTCTTCACTGGTTGATTGAATGTCACGCACACTAAGCAGACAGTGCTGTAAAGACACTGCAGAAGAAAGTATTTTCCATCTCGGTCCTGGTACACTGGCTTAGCTGACCTCCACAATGCACATGGCTCCTGCAGTGCAGGTATAAGATGATGCCTCCTCTGGTACCTGCTCCCATAACACCTGGAGCTTTTCTAATGCTCTGTTTCTGCAGCCAAAGGAGCTTCTCCAGCACCAAGCTGTTGTAGCATGGCCAGCACTGCTAACACAATACATGCTGTAGTACTCTACGGTACAGTAACCACCAGCCAACAGGTTCCCTTTGTGTGTAGCAGAATACCTTTGGTGAGACATTTCTCCATGAATGGCTTTCTCATGAGTTCTATAAGGCCAAATTCTAGACAGCATATTTCCACCAAGTCCTTCCACAGCAGTATAGCAGCAGTTCCTCTAACACTCAGTGAGCTGTTGCTGTGCTTCCTCCAACAAGATCTGGACCACATCCTCCTGGACTTCCTTTTTGAAATTCTGTGTAAGTCCAGCTAGTGGCTAGTCTACATCTGCATTCATATCATCTGTAAAATTCAATCTACCTCTAAATGGCCAGTCCCTCATCACTCCAATCTCCTGTTATACTTAATACTGTAACTACTTTTTATTAAACTTTATCTTTTCAACTTACTATGTGTGTCAGTAGCTCCTAGATCTTTATTTCTAACTATCTTTCTTCAAGAAAGAACCCAGGGTATCTTTGAAAAAATAGTCATATAACGGGTAAAGCAAGAAAAATCCAAGATGAGTATCTGATAGCACCAAAAAGTACAGAAGTACTCAAAATCAAATGGACAGAACATTGCAAAAGGACAGAATGGCCAAAGCTAGAGCAATTTGAGCAAAAAAATACGTAATGTAGTATTATAATATTCCAAATAAATATATATGAGCTAAACACAAATTTTTGGGTAAATGAGGGAAAAGAAGCAATTTTTTAATAGAATGATTCCAAATGACACAGGTAACTCACTTCTTTGAATATTGTAAGGAAAGAAAAAAATAGTAACTTTACATGAAGAAACCTGGCAAATGCTACTTTAGACAAGTGATGACATTATGTATGTCATGTGATTATCTTGTTATGATGTGATGAGCAGGGCACTTAACTCTGTAGTCATTCAGTTATGACAAACCAGATACACACAGACACACATAGCCTGGGGCCCTGACAGGATACTTGCCAGTTCTCTTCTAGAAAAACAAGAAAAGACAGAAATTGCCACAGATAGAGGAGACTGGGGAGACAGGACAAGCGAATGTACTGTGGGACTCTGAATTAAACTCTGGAACAAAAAAAGAGCATTAGTGTAAAAACTTTTGAAATTTAAGTAACATCTGGAATTTTTAATATTAATGTACACATGTCAGTTTCTTAATTTTGACAAACTAGTGGTAAATTAACCAAGAGGAAATTAGGTGTAGATGTATGGGACTTTGTCTAGATCTCAACGTTGCAACTTTGTATAAATCTCAAATTGTTCTGAAACAAAAACTATGCCGGAAAAGTTCTATAGTTTCTGTCTACTCGTTGAGCCTTTAATGATACCAAAAGCCAGAGTAATTATCAAAGCAATCATTTCATACATCTCACATATAGCATCAAAATGAGGTACAGCAATAACCAGAGAGTAGGGGGAAATAGAAATAGATTCTTTAGAAGTTAAAATTTAACACTGCTCAGTATTAGACTACTGTAATGGCATGCATTGTTTTCATAATTAACTGGCTAAATGTATACAAACTCATGAATTTTCTACAGTTAGGGTAACTGCTATAGACGAAACTCAAGAAGCAAAATTCAGTGTTCAGCACAGAATAGTACTTTCTTTTGTGCTTAAAAAAAAGGTATCAGACATGGTTTTCTCTGAACATCTTTAAAGAATTAAGATATTTATACATGCTTATCTATGCTTTGTCCATTATGTAACTGAGTTATAGAAATATCCTAGCAGTTGCCTAGTTATCATATTCCAGTATTAAAAGAATAATATATGTATTCTTTTAAAAGAATTCTAGAGTCTATGATCAAAAGTCTTTAAATTCTAAAATAAAGCAACAGTTTACTTCTATAAGGGCCAAATCGGTTCTAGAAAGAATGAAACCCATATAGGCTTTTTGTTTTATACACTCTTTAGTCTGACTTTTTGCTTGAAGCAGGCTGGAGATTTTAGGAAACAATGCATGAATAAAATTGAAATTTCAGCGTTCTGGCCCCAAAATTAGGAACAAACTTCATTTTGCAAATGAATATATCTACTTTTCCTTGTCCCACCACTTTACAGCAATGGTGTTTTTCTTCAAAATGTCTGGGCAAGACTGATTTTTAAGTTAGAAAAGTTAATGGAAGCAGTTGGCCAGAAGATAGACCGAAGCCAAATCCCACATCCCAGATATTCTGCCTCAATGGCGTGTGAACAAAATGCCCATCCTCCTCCTGCTGTCCTACAGAGGCAAAACAAAACCCAGCAAGACAGTTACCCACCAGAATCTAGAAGCCTTTCAGGGTCAGAAAGACACATGCACACCCTGGCTAAGGCACCAGAAAGAGGCCCTTTCAGAGGAGGCGTTCTGAGCACACACAGCACAGGGGCTTCCTCTGAAGACGCTGCTTCAGGGAGAGCCAAGAGACCACAAGTTCTCCTAACAAGGTCAAGAGCAATCTTCCCAGTTCCAAAGTAGCCAAGTAAAATTCTTAAAACCAATTTATCTTGACAGCTTAACATACTTTCAGACTAGTCTCAGAAAATTATTTGGTAGAAATGAAGCCAAATTTGTGCTGTCATGGGAACCGGCTAATTTTTTAAAACTATCATAAAGTGACATTTTGCCCATTACATTTGCTGCACTTCTATTTTCTCTCTCTCTCTGTACTTTAATTTTTCAAGGCTAAAAGACAGAAGAAGTGAATAAAATTATGGATGTGGCAATTAGTTAACAAGGGGACTTCAATTTTAACAGTGAAACTTGGGAAAGCCACTGTACTTAGTGACATTCCATCATTTCATCTTTATGATAATGGATAGGGGATTATAGGTACTGGCTGGTTATACCAAACCAAAAAGTTTCTGATGATTCCAAATTATCATCGTTTTAGAATTGTAACTCTAGAATAATGAAGACAAATTACATGGTACATTATGATTTCATTACCAAGTACCAACATGTTTGTGAATTTTCATTGATTACAAATGTATCTCCCCAATGGCACCTGAGTACCTTCCCTCTCAGAATAAAGAGACAAAAACATATGTTAACATCAAAAATACTTATTTTGCTTCTGAGTTAAAATCAACAAGTGGCAAATTTCATAACCACCAAAATATCTTGGATTAATCAAGTTAAAACCTGAATTTAGAACACAACCACCGCTAACTTCTGTAAGTAAGGAATCTAAACACTGGATTCTACTCTGGAAAATGCATTCATAACCACAGGAGTATGAGTAGCAAATTAATGAACTCTCCTTCTTTTTAAGTATTTTTCTTTATTCTCAATTAATGGCAGTTCCATGTATCGTGCATGTACAGATTGAAAAGGAACTCTATGAATGGGTGGGGTGGGGAGTCCAGATCAAGCTTTGCTTGGGATGAAGAGGCAAACTGTGGCCCAGGATAAGGGGCAGACAAGCAGTCTACGCAGCAGGAATAGTCCGAGACAGACAGCAGCAGGTGGATACTTACCACTGGAGCAGTTGGTCCCACCCCAGCCAGGCTCACACTGACAGGTGTTTGGAGCGATGCAGCGACCATGGACACATTTATCAGCACAGTGAGCTGTCAGGGAGAAAATCAATCACATAAAGAAAGTTGGCACGAGGGGAAAAAAGTCAACAACACAGCTGTTGCACATCCTAGGCTCAAGTATCACTTAAAAACAACATGCATGCTTGATAATTTTCTTCAATCCACTTCTTAGTCCTCTTACAGTCTGTTGTATAACCAAACAATTCCCCCTCTTATTTTGTTATCTCCAAATAAATTCCTCCAGTTCTACTGTTTAATTCTATGTCATGCTACATTAGGGGACTTTTTTTTTTTTTTTAAGAAAAATTACCTAACTTTTATTTTTTAAAAATTATCAATGAATACTAATATATTCTTTTTTTAAAAAAACTTTTTAATAGAGGAGCCTATATAAAGAAACAAACCCCAAAGCAACATATCAGGACTCCAGCGTGACACAGTGGATGAAGAGGTAATTCTTTTTATGTAACACAGTCACCAGAAGAAATACTCACTTTTCAAGTGAACATACTATTCATAACTATGGCACAGAAGAACTGCATACTCTTTTTTCATCGAAGGGAATATTTGAAAAATGTCATGCAGGTCTTTGGGAAATACTACATCTTATCCTCTCTCAGGGGTGAGCAAATGTGAGGAGGAAAGCGGGCATCACTATGAACGTGAGTGGACAGTCTGAGGACAAGCTCCCAAAGCAGAGTTCAGCTGGCTGATGATAAAGGGCACCAAAAATATACTAGGCTGAACAGTAGCATGGCCTTCCACACTAGTGCCTCTCACACTGGTTACACGCTCTTCAAAATACCTGGCTATCTGAGTACTGTAATCATAAGAGTAACTTGTAAGAGTACAGACAGTTAAATTCTTTTATTTAAGGAGAGGCAATTAAAATTTGTATTTAAGGAAAGATAAAGTACCTTGTAGCAAAACAAGTTTACTTTCCTATATATAAAATGCCAGTGAGTTAAATGAGCCTCATTTTTAGCTCTACCAACTAGTAACCTTCTGTGAATGTTGAATTCTTCAGGCTTTTTTCCTATATATTTTTCTCTTTAAAAATATTATCATAATTTTCAAATTGCTTTTTTTGGGGGGGAGGGTCCTTTTTGAGACAGGGTTTTACTATGCATTTAAGGCTGGCTTTGTAGCCCAGACTGGCCTCAAACTGGAGATGATTCTCCTTTTCAGCCTCCAGAGTGCAGGGATCATACCTGGCTTAGAACTGATTTTCTTCTCCATATAATGGAAAAAATATTTCCATGTCATTGAATATTTACTTAAAAATTTACCCACAATTGTATGTGCAGTGTACACATATAGTATGTACTCATCATCTATATCTGTATCTCCATGTATGAAATTAAAATGTTGTTTACTTCCAAGATTTCTATGTTGGACATGAAGACATACATGGAAAAGGCATTTCAGAGGAAGAAAATTCAACTGGTAAAGGGATAACCGAAAAAGGAAATAAATGAAAATAAGAAATTCTGTTTGAGTATGACATTTGGGGAAACAGGAAAGGTACAGAGACCTTTAAAACCAAGTTAAAATGTCACTGTTTTATTCTGATAATTAGCTAGGAATCATAATGGAAAGCATAATGTGCTACAAGAAACCATCAGGTTGAGGACCCCACAAAAGAATAAACTGACCATAAATCACAAGAAATGCAGGCTCACTTGTCATCTGAATAATTCTTTAGCACCCCAGTAATTTGGTGAAGGACACCAGGTCTGCAGAGTTTGGGAGTGTGGTGAGAATCACGAGAATTCTGAGGAAGTACGTGGTAACCTTGTACTATTTGATTCAGACAATTACACATTGGACTGTAGTTAAAACTGAACATGCTTATGACACATGACCACGTGGGTCCTGCAATACGCTCACACACTGTGAAGTCCTTATGCGACCACCTCAGAGCCGAGTGTCTCCTTCCGTTGCTGCACACATGTCTGACCTTGTACATGGCACTCACAGCTCTCTGCTGTTTCCTTAAAATTTAGGCAGACACACACATAACGCTGGCAAACTACCGCACTCCACTGGGTGAGGCCCAGAGAAACGCCACAGTCAGTCAGGGGTTTAACAGTGCAGGACTGGTCCCAGACACCATGTTACACTGTGTCACACAGCTGCACGTGCATGTGGGACTGTCCCGCAGAGCGACGCCCCACTGTGAACCTATCAGCAAGAGTGCTGCCCACTTGTCTTGGGTCCGAACAGCATCTGATCACTAACACATTGTTAGTGATCAGTGTAGCAATTTCTCCTCCTTCCCCATTCTAGAGTGTTTCAAATTCCGCTTGCATATCTCTAGAAGTTTTAGAAACCAGACACCATTTATCTTTAATGTAAAACAAGACTTCTTTGGGGATGTGTACTTAAACCAAAACAAAAACTGGAAGTGGTGGTTAATGAAAGAAGTACCATTCATATCTTCAAATTGCAACTTTTTGTGTTTATTTAATAATGTATCTTTTGCCACTTAATTTTATTCTAAAGAAATAACATAAAGTCAATGTAATAAGGTACATTTATGCTAATAAAATTTCCCTATATTTGTTTTTAAATCTTAGAAACCCATATAAGAGTCTATATGACAAAAAAACCTAATTCCCCTACTTGAGAATTTGAAAACCTCTGAGTCTCTGAGATGTTGACTCTTGGAAGCACACAGGTTTTGTATTTTTTTTGAGAAGTCACTGGCTGTGGATGACATTCAGACTCCTCCCTTTCTTCTCTTACCTTTCATTTCATCTTTCTTTTCATTTGTACTACTAATCTTCTCTTTTTCTGCCATAAACTACTGCTTTGATAGGCACAGTTACCAAAGAAACTTCAGATTAAAATTTGATTTTCATTATAGTTGTGTTGGCTTTTAAGCACAGATGACTTAAAATGATTTCTAGGATGCCACCTGAACCAGCTAGTGAGAAGGCAAGACCGAGCACATGCCCATACCACCTTTGCCCTGCCACTGAAATAAGGTTACTGAAACAGATAAATAAACACACACATTAAGCATATGTTCCATAGGGTTAGGAATCAAGAACTGCCTATGCTCAGATCTCAATCTGGAGTTTTTTGTTGCTCTTATTTTGTTAATTCTGGAAAAGAATAATAATTTCTATGTACAGAATTAAAGAAAACTTGCTTTAGAATGCAAACTTTGGGCTGGGGATTTAGCTCAGTGGCATAAGCACCTGCCTTGCAAGCATGCAGTTGTGAGTTCGATCCCTGGTACCGGTAAAAAAAAAAAAAAAAACCAAGAGAAAAAAAAAAAATAGAATGCATACTTTGCGTTTTTATGAAAGGAATTTTGAGAGGTCTAGTCAGTTACAACAAATGAAAAAATCCTGTGATTACAATGTCAAAATATGAATTATGTTTATAAAAACCTTGAGCTAACATACGGCCAAAGTCTGAAACTAAATGTGGATGGACCATTAGCAAAAAACAAGTTTGCCTGAAAGTTAACTAGAAAATGCAAGAACAAATCTGTTTTCTTGATCATTTCTTTTTCCTTAAAGCTCAAAATAATAAAATCAACTCCAAGCATTGAATCTTGAAGTTAAATGATGACCTAAATGATGGGAAATACCATTGGTTTAGACTCATAAAGAAAGAACACATTCTACCTCCATAATGAGAAAGTTTCACACAGCACTGAACTGTAAGTGACGTCTTTGTTCAGTGCTGTTTTCCAGCACCTCTGGATCCTCTGTGTCCAGCCACAGCCCTTACCCAAGAACCTATAAGATACTCAGGAGCAAGAAAAGCAACAGAGCTCCAGCTCTCTCCATGTTCACTGAAGTCCCAACTCACCACTCAGCAGATACACTAACCATCACACACATGGTGTCACCAATGGTCTGGAAAATCAGCAGCACTGGATTCCCCACCCAGCCTCATCTTCCCTGCTTCAGCCTTAAGTGCCACCAACTCTAACTGTTAGATTTCCATGACCAACAAACTGTGGGGGAAATTAAGGTGGGTTAAATACAGAAAGTAGCTATGCACAAAACGCCAAAGTGTACTTGGAAAGGACACAAAGAATAGACATTCGCTTTAGTAAATGTTCAATAGTTTGGATCTAAAAGGGTAAAAAGACCCCTCTATATGTAGCTGTCCCCTTCATCAGAACAGAGAGTCATTTTACTCCTTATCCACACCTCCTCTTCCTATATTTAAAAAGACAGTTAAAACTAAGGTTAACTTAGCAGAAGTGCCTTATCCAACATGATTTGTTTCCCTACCTTTCTTTAAGAAAATCATTAAATATTTTAGTCTAAATTTTCAGCGGCCACTTTTTAAGGCCAGATAGATATTGAATCTTGACCCACACTCAGTACCCTGCTGTAGACACATCAAGACTGATGAGAAGAGCAGGCCTGGTCTTTGAAGTAAAAGCTGCGGACAGTCTGTCTGACTGGTGGACAGGTGAGGAGTGACACCATGACCCTGGAATCTTCTCTAATTAGGCTCCTATTTCAGCCTTAGTTCCTAAATCCATTTAAATCCCATTACCAAGGGCATGGGCCTCATTCCTTTCACTTGTAAATGCTTGGCTTTACCACTGAGAACCATTAACAAGCCAATTGTTTTTTCTTCTGCCACATATATTTCCCTTTGGACTTACACTTAAGGATGGATAGAAAGGTGAAAGGAGGAATAGGCAGCCTCAATATTCCTTTGTAACTAAATTACAATCTCTAAAGGTAACACATAACCATGTCTCAAAGAATATAATAAGTTCACTTAAATTAATTTGACAAATGACTCTAGGATCAAAGTATCTCTTGAAAATAACTGCCATATGCAGACAGCCTTCCAGTGAATCTATCTTCCCTCAGAAGGTGCTTTTATGTAGATGTTATAAATAAAGAGGATGCACCACAAATCTGGTTTCTCTCATTCATTGCAAGTGTCACTACACTGGAACATGAGCATTTAGAGTACATCAAACTCATAGTGGGTTTTAGTGAGAGTAGCCAGGGAAGGGGAGGAAGGACAGGAGAGAACACAGT